TCAGTAAGTTTTTTCATCTTTTCACGGTGTATAATTTACCTTTTCATCATTACAGTTCGCATTATAGTTCGATCCTCAGGAGCTCCACGTCTGTTTTGACTTCTCTCTGTTCTGTTTAACTTTAATTAAATACCCGTAAAAAGGAGCACTGATAGTAAGAGGAGGGTACAGGGCGCACCTTCGAGCGCATTAAACATGAGCCCCTGGCTCGGGAGATTTGGGCAACCACTCCACTCCTTTTTATCATCGTCAACCGCCCGCAACAACTATTTACGAACTAATTAAAACCAAATCTACCTAATCCACCGTCTAACCAATCAACCAACAACCTATTCAACTACCAAGTCAATCAGCCAACCCCCTTAAAAAAGCTCTAAATCACTATATTAAACAACCTTCCTACCTAACAACCAACCAAACATCCAACCTACCAACCGATAACCTTCTAACCAATCAACAAACAACCTACGTAACTAACCTGCCTACCATTTACCAATATCTACCCCCACTACTTTACAACAAACAAACAAATGACCATTTTAAAACTAACTCACACCAGCCAACTGAAATCTCATTTAAGATTTTTAAGCCAGGTAAGCAACCTATCAAATTACAATTTACAAAATACCCACGAACAACGAAACGATTACAAAACATAGTAACCAATTTATTCGCAGTATAGTGCGAAAGTAGATATAAGAGCTTAACCCTACCGAGAATATCTCTTAAGATCGAAGATGTTGAATTTTGTGGAGGGAGGAAACCCACAGGTAGCCCAAGCTTAGTTTCTGTGGCGTCTTGTCATAAGGGAATGTATGGGGATTCATCAAAAATTTCAATAAAATCATTGAAACGTGAGATAAAGCCTCGAAATTTTACTCGATCATTGAGAAATAGCACTTCTTTCGCTCTGTGTGGTTATATTTTGAATTTAGCCAGTTTTAAGATCCCCCCCGTAAGAAATAATTATTCTCAGCCAAGCCAAGCTTGGGCTACCTGTGGGAAAACCAGGCGAAAATCCCTCGAATACCACAAACTCAACTCACCAATGACACTGAGTCCAAATCCATTCTTACAGGGTCCTACTGGAATTCCTGGACCTGCTGGTAGGAGAGGACCTGCAGGACCTGCTGGACCAGGAATCAAAGTGGTACGTATACCGTCATTTACACTATCCTTGTAGCATGCAGGGTTTTCAATAGAAGCCGGAAACCGGCAGATTCCGCCGTCTACTCTTGCTAATTCGGCAGCCTACTCAGCCAATTCCCAATGTAATTGTAAATCTTCATTAAAGTTCTTTAAACTAGCAAAATGTGTCAATAAAATAAATTTTAACCCAATCTTTGTTGCTATACTACGAAAACTTGCAACGCAATCGAAACTACAACGATCGTTGTCTCGTTGTCCGCCATCTTGAATTTTTGTGAGAAGAGTGAGACTGGTGACAAGTATGCCTCGATTACATGCTCCAGTGATATCCGGTTTGCCGCCTATTTTCATTTCATAACCGCCTACCAAAAATTTTATTGACAACCCTGAGTATGCATGACGTCATAGTCGCCATGTTTAATTACGTTGGCTCGAAATTACGAGTTTGTCATTCTGTTGCTATGGCAAACAACATAGCGGGAAAGATTTTGGTTCCTATTTACATGGGAAGGAATGAACATCACCTATTGCAGTTCTTGCATTCATGTTGTTATACACAATGAACCCCTTCTCAACAATAAATTTGAATGCGAGGCTTACATGGAAATACGAAAGAAGTGTCACAAATTCCATCGAGAAAAAGTGTGATTTTTTCGTGGTTTTTTTAATGTTAGCCTCGCATCCACAATAATTTTGAGAAGGCGCCATTATCAAAGCTAGCTTATCTTCTGTTTTCTATCTTCATCTCTTTTCCTGCTTCATTTTATAGAATTGGCGACGAATTCAAGTTTCTGACACGAAAGGGCCTGGTACTAGTTCTGGAGGAGCTCCAATCGTTATCCCACCTGCTGTGGTGAGTATGACGCAATTGATTACAAAAGTTCCCGTTCCTTCCCCCCCCCCCCCCCCCTTTTTTTTTTTTCACCTTTCATTCTCTTCCCTCTCCTATTCGT